TCATCGCTTCATCGCTTCATCGCTTCATCGCTTCATCGTTTGTAAAATCGGCTGGTGTGCGGCGGCCTTTAGGGTTATGGTTAGGGTTATGGTTAGGAGAGTTAGGGTTAGTGTTAGGGGATGGGTTACGATGTTGGTGGTGTGTGTGGGGACTCTCTGGTTTGTTCGGTAGTTGAACTCTAGAATCATTCGTACCTAAAATATAGATTCGTTCCGAACCTGAACACGTGCACTAGTTGTAGTATGAATTTAAGTTAGTATATTGTATGTATTTAAGTTAGTATATAATAAGTATTTAAATTAGTATATAGTAAGTATTTAAGTTAGTTTATTGTATGTATTTAAGTTCGTATATAGTATGTATTTAAGTTAGTATATTGTATGTATTCAAGTTAGTATATAGTATGTATTTAAGTTAGTATATAGTATGTATTTAAGTTAGTATATTGTATGTATTTAAGTTAGTATATAGTATGTATCAATAGCGTATTAAGAAGGCTTCTTAATACGCTATTGTATGTATTTACTAACTTAAATACATACTATATACTAATTTGAATACATACAATATACTAACTTTTATTGTATGTATTTAAGTTAGTATATAGTATGTATTTAAGTTAGTATATTGTATGTATTCAAGTTAGTATATAGTATGTATCAAGAGCGTATTATGAAGGCTTCTTAATACGCTATTGTATGTATTTAAGTTAGTATATAATAAGTATTTAAATTAGTATATAGTAAGTATTTAAGTTAGTATAGTGTATGTATTTAAGTTCGTATATGGTATGTATTTAAGTTAGTATATTGTATGTATTCAAGTTAGTATATAGTATGTATTTAAGTTAGTATATAGTATGTATTCAAGTTAGTATATTAGTAGTATCAATAGCGTATTAGAAGGCGGTTCTAATAGGGGGGGGGGGGGCGGGGGGGGGGGGGGGGGGGGGGGGCGGGGGGGGGGGGGGGGGGGGGGGGGGGGGGGGGGGGCGGGGGGGGGCGGGGGGGGGGCATATTGTATACGTGATTTAAGTTAGTTAGTTGTATGTATTTAAATTAGATATATAGTATGTAGTTTAAGTTAGTATATTGTATGTATTCAAGTTAGGATTATAGTATCGTATGCAATAGGCGTATTAAGAAGCTTACTTAAGAGCGCTCTTTGTATGTATTTAAGTTAGTATACTTGTGATGTATTCAAATTAGTATATAGTATGTATTTAAGTTAGTATATTGTATGTATTCAAATTAGTATATAGTGATGTATTTAGTATAGTATATTGTATGTATTCCAAATTAGTATGACTAGTATGTATTTAATTAGTATATTGTCTATGTATTCTAAGTTAGTATATAGTATGTATTTTAAGTTAGTATATATATGTATTTGAATAGTTAGTATATATATGTATTTAAGTTAAGGTATATAGTATGTAATTTTAAGTTAGTATATTGTATGTATTCAAATTAGTAATAGTATGTATGTACTTTTGAAATTAGTAGTAGTATGTATAATAGTACTTCGTATGTATTTAAGTTAGTATATAGTATGTATTTATAAGTTAGTATACTTGTATGTATTTAAGTTAAGTATATGAGTGATGTATTTAAGTTAGTATAATTGTATGTATTTAAGTTAGTAATATAGTATGTATTTAAGTTAGTATATTGTATGTATTTAAGTTAGTATATAGTATGTATTTAAGTTAGTATATTGTATGTATTTAAGTTAGTATATAGTATGTATTTAAGTTAGTATATTGTATGTATTTAAGTTAGTATATTGTATGTATTCATGTTAGTATATTGTATGTATTCAAGTTAGTATATAAGTGATCAGTGATCTCTATGTGGATTGTTAGTAGTAACCATGGCAACGTTTTCCTGCAGGTACCAAGCGCCGCCGCAGCAGCAGCAGCGTCAGACTGCCGCCTTCCAGCAGAAGTATGGGCCACAGCCGACAGCGCATCCCTTCTACCAGGGAGATACGCCTCGCTACCAGGCGGCGCAGCAGGCGCCAGAGCCGGCGCCCATGCTGGCGCAGCACGTCGGGCCAAGCTCGCCGAGTGTTCTCCAGCAGGGGGCAGCACCGCCGAGGAAGTTCCAGTCGGCAGTGCAGATAACGCCGACCGCTGGAGGGAGCCACCAGCAGCAACAGGGTGCTCAGGGGACGTATCATACACCGCAGAACCCACAGTACCAACAGCAACAAGCGCCGCAGTCTGTGGCCTACCAACCAAGTGGTACACCCCAATCTGTACCATACCAACAAAGTGGTACACCCCAATCTGTACCATACCAACAAAGTGGTGGGCCCCAATCTGTGGCCTACCAACCAAGTGGTACACCCCAATCTGTACCATACCAACCAAGTGGTACGCCCCAATCTGTACCATACCAACAAAGTGGTGGGCCCCAATCTGTGGCCTACCAACCAAGTGGTACGCCCCAATCTGTACCATACCAACAAAGTGGTACACCCCAATCTGTGGCCTACCAACCACGTGGTACACCCCAATCTGTACCATACCAACAAAGTGGTGGGCCCCAATCTGTGGCCTACCAACCAAGTGGTGGGCCCCAATCTGTAGCCTACCAACCTAGTGGTCCTAGATCAGTTTCTTACCAACCAGATTCTGGCCCTCAGTCAGTGTCTTACCAACCAAGCAGGCCGCAGCAGCAGCAGCAGCAGCAGCAGCAGCAGCAGCAGCCAATCACACCAGTTTCATACCAACCAAGCACACCAGTGTCTTACCAACCAAGCACCCCTGTCTCATACCAACCCACTACTCCCGTGGGCTACCAACCACCCACGCCTGTAGCATACAAACCTTCGACACCCGTGGGATACCAGCCACCCACTCCCGTATCCTACCAGCCTACCACACCGGTAGCTTACCAACCCAGCCCGCCGCAAGGACAAGGCGGTCTGTATCAATCAACAGGCAGTTCCCCTCAACCCTATGGAGATTACAGCGTCCCTCCTTTCACGCTTGGCGATGCACCAAAAGGCGGGCAGCATGGGCAGTTTGGAGTGAGCAGCCCTCAGGCGTATCAACCGAGTCCCCAGCCGTCGTCGTATTCTCCATCAGCGCAGAGTTTCGCCCCGGAGTCGACAGGTGGCGCTGCGCCGCCGCCGCCGCCCCCGCCGCCTAGCCCCACCGAGCGGAGGGCCGCCGCCGCCGCCCGCCGCCGCCGCCCGGAGCGGGTGGAGCGCCCGTGAAAAAGCTGGAAGGACGGTCAGCCAGCAGCGGTGAGAATTAAACACCAGCTCTCAGGGGGATCTACGTGCAAGCGCAGTGCTGTTGTGTAGTGTGTGTGTGTGTGTGTGTGTGTGTGTGTGTTGGTGTTGTAGTTGTTGTGTG